TCTATATATATATATATATACGGTACACGGCTGATCCTGATTAAAACTGGAGCACTGGCTGCAGCTCCAACTCTCCTATTTCTAAAATTTTACGTTTTTTCTTCCAAAAGAATGCAGCGTCTTCTTAAAATGATAGTCAATATCATCCGAATCCTTAAGGAAGCCTTTTAAATTGTCCTTAGTACTTAAATATCTTTCATTAATACAATACAGTAAAAAAATAGTTACAAATATTATTGTAGTGAAACACAAATTAGTGACCAAAGGACCTGCTCAAGTCATGAAATGATATTTGTCACAATTTGCAGATCAACTAATTATTAACAAAGCAATGTTTGATTGCCGTCAAAATTCTACCTGTAAAGGAGTCTACCTAGATACTTTAGTTTAGTTTTAAGTAAATTTGATTAGGAGAAATTTGATAAGGTGAAATTTAGTGATGAATAAATTTGATAAGCAGTTTATGAAATGCTGAAAAAATGCATCGGTACCTATAGTTTTAAGTTATGGAATTGGTTTAAACTTTCGTTTATTCATATCATCAAGTTTTGAAGTAGATAACCTAGGTAAAGTTGTACCATTTTAAATTATCTTTTTCTTAGCAAAAAAATTCTGATACAGTTCGTTAAATTTTGAAAAAGTACATCAGTCCCTAAAATAATTAAATGATTTAGAATTGTCTTATGCTTAATTTTACCATCATTTCCTTGAACAATTATTTGACTTAAATTTTTATAAACTTTAAGTAATTTATTTGTCTTCTGTTTTATTTCTTGCAGTACCCTTGCCAATACCAGAATATGAAGCTGTGGCAGGAGAAATAGGACATTTACCATGCAATTTTACAATACCAAGTGATCCATCTTTAGTATCTTTAATGCTCTGGTATAGGGACCAAGAAAGAGCTCCAATCTATACAGTGGACTTTCGAAAAGGGACTAGAGATAACCCAAAACATTTTACAATTCCAGAATATGCAGAGAGATCTTATTTTGATGTAAATATTATACCACCAACTCTTAGGTTAAATTCTATTAGTCTTGCAGACGAGGGATATTACAGATGCCATATAGAGTTTAGGAGATCAAGAACCATTACAAGAGTCGTTAATCTAAAAGTGATAAGTAAGGATGATTTTATTTTACAATTTCAATTTTCAAGAATGAATATCTTTCTTATGTAGTTTGTTTTGTATTTAATAAGTAAGGAAAATGAAGCTTACAAATTTTAGCCCATTTCTAACGCTGTTTGCGCCTGCGCAATCCTTTTAAACGCTATTTTCCTTTATTTGCAGTGTAAGTTGCTTTCAATTATTTTTAGATGAAATATATCTCTACCATTTTGTAATATCTACAGCTTACAATATATGTATTAGTGTTGCATTTTGTCTCCCCATCCACTTAGAAAAAATAAATAAAAACTTCAAAACTAAAAAAAATAATAATAATAATTAATTAAATCGAATGAAAATTTCAACCGCTGTGATTAAAGTGCTTTTAAAAGTAGGTCAAGATAGTTTTCAAGGATAAGGTCACCAAATTTTATCAGAGGATCTTTGAAAAGCAATTAGAAACAACCAAGAGCGTTTTATTATTTCTAAAATATCTGGAGTTATATTTTTGAGGAAAATATCATACCAAGCACCAACTTTTAGATTAAATTCAACTAGTATTGAACATATAAAGTTTGGAAGATCAAAAGCCATTATAAAAGTTGCTATTCTTATAGTTAGATAATGTAAGGAAATATGAATGAAATAATATACAAAATTAAAGTCAACAAAACGAAATAATACACAAAGAAATTGGAAGGGTTCTTTTAAGATCTATTTCAATCTTACAAAAAATTGTATGAGTGCAATGAAATTGTAGGATCTTTAAGTCTTTAAAAGTACCTTTTTGAACCAAAATTTTGAATTTTAAGTTATAAGACAGTTAGTATTTTAAATTTATTTTAAAGATATTATATTGGCTTTGATAAAGTTCTAAATAAATTTAAAATCTTAAAATTTAAAGTTTTCTTATTAAATTCGAAGAAAACAAAAATATTTAAGAGCACTACATATTTAAATATTCACTTCGCATCCATAAAAGTAATTATTCAATTAGTTACGTATTAAAGAAAAAGCAGTCTTATTATTCTCTATAGGTTTGCAAGGTGGAAGTAGAATTCCTTTTCTTCTTGAAGACTGAGTTCTTGTTCTTTTATTCAGTTTATTTTGTATTTACTCAGTAATTACAAGTTATGTTCTTTCACGTATCGATCTATTTGTGGGCGTTTTGTAAGTGATGTTTATTCAATGAGAGAAATATTACCATATTGTTACTTTTTATATTTTCTGTAGTTATTCAATGAATTCTTTTAAGTATTCTTCTTAAGTATTCTTCTAGGTAATTCAGTTGTTATTTCAATTAATTTTTAAAGCTAATCATATATCCGCAGTTATACATTATCAATAGTGTATAACATCTTTCTTATTTTGTTTCTAGATTTTATTTAAGAATTAAAATTTTCAAGTCTGAAAAATATTTTAGGAAAATATAATTTCTTTGCACGCAATATTTAGTATTGAAATATATATATATATATANCCAATCGCTCCACCGACGCTGTCAAGCATGTATCGCTTCTGGTGGACGCAATTTTGAACACTTACTGTAAACATGACACTTGTCAACAACGCTTTCAATAAAATCTTTGTTTTTCCTTTCGGCCGTTATTTCTTCTGTTTACGCCTCACCGCGTCACTTGCGACTATACATTCCTATACAATAAATCATTGTTACAATGTCCTGTACTTACCATTAAAGTTTGCACCATGAATTCGAGACCACCCTGTATATATATATATACACAATCTGCTTACATAAGTCCGTTCTCATCATAATTATTTCTAAAAGGCTAAAGCTATAGTGGCATAAGAGCGGTCTGGGCATAGTAAAATTGCATTAGCTGCGCAAAGAAACCACTAACTGGACCGTCTAGTGATAGACTTCAAAACTGATTTTTAAAAAAAATTACAATGTACAAAAAAAAATCAATTACAAAGTTAATTACAAAACGATTAATTACAAAAATACATCTTGCGCACGATAATGATTAAAACGAAAAGTACAAAACGCAAATTTGTTTGATCACGTTGAACAAAAGTGCACTTGTCGGAAATATGTTCTTCGTCTCTCTTCGTTCTAAAATTGCTTTGTCTCTCTGTCAAGCTCAAAATGGTGTCCTTCAGCATCTATCAGGTCTAGACGCGGGACTGCTCATCCCACTTCTCATCGTGCATACAGCAGGTGACTCGCTGGTACAAGCATCCGCAATGCGGTTTTGATGAACTAGCTATTTGGTGTCTCCCAGCGGAAAAAAATCATCTACTATATTTAGATCAGATGAACATGGAAATCTTTTTATACAACATTCGTATCCAAAGACTTGTGGCTGGAATATATCATTAATGCTATGTTGGGAATTCGTGGAAGTATGTCGTCATGTTAGAACCATACATCCGGATATTACGTTCGCTCTTCAGAAGTTCCAAGTATCTGGATCCAGTTAACGTAAACTTGTAGAATACTGGGTAAATCAGTCTGCTTTAAAAAATCCTGCACAAGATACTTATCGACCAGCGTACTTGATGTCCAGCCGTGATAACACATCTAGAAGTATCCATCTACCGAAAGTGGCTGTTTTGATTATTGTACATAGTATTACGTGAAAAAATTCCTAATCCGTTCATATGATGTAGGCAAGAAATATGCTGATCCTGTAAGCTTTTAGGGATGAAGATGCTCCAATTATCGTGTCTCTGAGCATCAGCTGCCCTTAGTGCCAGCAAAGGTGTAGGCTAGTATAGGCAAACACCTACTTTATACAAGATTTTTCAAATGAAGCTTTTTGGAAGGCTATAATATTCCGTGGTCGCTTCTGTGCTGCTTTGATGATGGGTGATGGTATACGCTACTACGTTTTCTGGTTGCACTCGTTGTCCTACTCCTCTTGGTCTGCTGGTTATACTACCCATCTCCCTGAATTCTTTCAAAGTCTTTACGATGACCTGCCATGAAGTATGCTTCCCTTCAGGAAAACGTTTACCACACAATCGCTCTGCATGCTGCACATAATCACATAATCCTGCACGGCACCCACATTAGTTGTAAATTAAAACTATTTCGTAATACTCATTGGTCGAAAATGTCGACATGATTGCGAGTTTCGACATCTAACTTCCACCGAACTCTTTCTTTTATATTTATTCTCGGTGCAGAGGTATGGTGTGCCATACTTATTATCATAATATCCGAACTTATGCGATTCGCATATGAAATGAGAGTTGAGTTGCGTTGATGCGTTGAGAGTTGAGACCGCATCGCCTACTACTTCTGTTAAAGGCCGCATGCCCCAGCAGGAAAGTCAACCGGGGTTCGCTCGTATAGTAATCTCGCACGCTGGGCAGTGGTGGTGGTGGAGTGAGCTCAGCAATTGCCTCAATTTTAACGCCCTCTCCTAACAGTATGCGGATTGCGTTTCTAGTTGGTTGTCCATCTAGTAGGTATCTCTTCTAATTGAAATGGGAGGAGTGCAAATTATAAAAATCAAGAGCCATTTTGGCAATAAAGCACTATGGAGGCCTGGGCACGAAATATATTAAGTTTTGCCGGAATCAAATTTGGGATATTGGCGTCAGGATTAGATTTACAACTAGAACAATAAGAATTTGCTGATAGTATTGTATTTTAATTTACATTTTTATTATCATAATGGGTAATTAAATTTTAAAAATCTGCTAAATTATACATTTTGGAATGAGAGAATAGGTGAACTTATCCATTCACAAGCAAACTCTAAGAGAAAAAGAATTTTTTAATAACCATATAAACGGAAGAAAAATTTGTGGTTTTTGCTGAATAATAACAATAAATTACCAGCTTTTAAGTTCCTTAAAAAAACATTAATCAATTATTATTATCAATTTAATTATAATTTTTTATTTATTATTATTATTTTATTTTATTTTATTTTTATTTTAGCGTTTAATTTTAGAATTTTAATTTTAGTTTAAAAGTTTTATTTATTTTTGTGATACCATTGAAAGGAAAATCATGATTTTTGCTCATCTGTCGTCTGGTCAGCGTTTTAGCTATAAGCTATTCAATATTTGAAAGGTAAAATTCAAGCATTTTCTGTGAATAATTTTTTTTGAAAAAATAATATGCAGAAGTTTGGTAAATTTTAGTTAATATAGATGTGTTAAAATTGGTTTAAAATTCAGTAATATGTAACCACTTTAAGTAAGATTTTCCCAATTTAATTAAAATATAGTATTATGCGTCTGTATCAGAGCAGCAAGTATTACAGAACTTTTACTTTTTAACCAACTTAGAAGAAGAGGGCATCGCATATTTTTTAATCAATATTCTTTAAAAATTTACATCCGCCTAATCAAAATTTAGACTGATATTCAAGACCAAAGTCTTGATATATATAGTCTTGAAGCCCCTTTTCACTTTTAAATGAAATTTTTTTCATAGTGTAAAATAGTTTGTATTTTAATATTACAGAAGTAGAAAGAATTGAAAAAAAACCCGTATTATTGCATGATTGAAGATTGAAGTAGGAGGGGTGGTCGCAAGGATTTCTCTGAGCACAGTACACTAACTCTTCTCAAGGAGGGGATAAGATGTTAGAACCGCAATCCACTAGGATTTAGAAAACCATTAGCACACTCTATCACCGCGCAAGCTTATCCAGTGACACGGTATGGGATGCTTTAGATTGTGATTTTGCCACTTCTTTTCCACGTTATGCCGCGTTATAATTTTGTGAGTTGAAAAACCACACGGATATGCATTTCACGCCTTCTATTTTTGACATCACTGTCAGGAAATTGTCTTCTCTTACTAAATCGCTGAGGTTGAACAATGGAATTTAGCATATTCCTCGTATATCATGCAATCTTTGAGGTAAGAGCTCCTACTTCAAACTTTTCCACCAAGTGGCACTGAAAACGATTTTTCTTGCGTAAAACATGGCAACCTTATATATAGACCTCATGTTATGATAATATCTCTTAAGAAAAGAAAATGTATTAGCATGAAAGTGAGAGGCTAACATTTATTTTTATTTT